ATGCAAATAACCATGCCAAGTATAATAAGACTAAAGTTTATTTTGTGAACAAGTCAGTTCTATCATGATTTGTCTTTAATAAAACTGAGGACCGGAGAGAAAAAAATTATGTTTCAAAAACTGTGGTACACCTATTATTAGATTCTAGTCTCATCAGTTTTTGAGTTTTCGTCTGCAATTTAGATTAACCCTGCTTATTCCTGTGAACCAACCAGTGATCTCTGGCTGCAGGTCAGAAGAAACAAGACGGATGGGTAATGTAAAAATCTGGATCAATATTCTAATTCTGGGCACATATTGGAATCAGCTAGCAACCCCAAGAACCCAATGGAATCAGCTAGCAACCCCACGCACACAAGTCTTAGCAGGCATAACTATAGCCACCAGCTACCTGAGCATATTGGCAGTCTCAGAATTTTTTGGAGCTATCATCATCCCCTTATTTTGGCTTAGCATTCTTCTAATTCTAATAATCCTATTTCTCGCCTCTCACCTTCAGGCCATCAAGCTCCATGTGATCATCAGTGAGGGATACTGTCCTCTCAATATTCAAGAGCCAGCCTTCTACAGAGGACCACTAGACTGCTCATTAGTGGGACATGACAGAGGCAAAATCCTGTCCCTGTCTCTTGGACCTGGTTGGATACTGCTTTCACCAACCCATGGAACCAGCTCTGCCCTGACAGCTAGCAAGAGGCCAAGACCTGCAGAACAATCACTACCACTCCTCTCTGTCAGCAGGAATCAGTTACAGAAGACTGACCTTCATCCACTTTCCCCAAAGAATTGGGGTACTGGACTCTTGAGGGGGGAAATGTTACAGGAGGTAGTTAGTCAGGCATGAGCAGGGCAAGAGATGGCCTAGCCTCCAACCTTGCCACACACACACAACAGGAATGTCAGGCAACCATCAAGCTATGGTCAGGTGATTGCTAACTGTCTCTCTAAAATAATAATTGGTCATAGCAGATGCCAGGGAAAGGCAGTCTCCCAATACATAGAAACTCCTGAAACTGGTGATCAGCAGCATCCCAATAAGATCTCAGGAGTCTGGTGAATGGGCTCAAGCTTACACATTAAGAGGCAAAATTGTGGAGTTAACTAGTACATGGCCTTCTAAAGACATTTGTCTGGTAAGGGAAGAATGCCTCAAATGAGCATGTGTACAGCTCCAGTAAACACACTGCATGCTCTCCTCTCAAGTGTTAGCAGGCCACTGCACGTGCAGACAGCCCATCTCAAGGGAAGAAACAGGGGAGAAGGGATGCAAGGCCTTGGAAGCATGCTAACATATGAAATCCCAAGCCAAAGGTCAAACTGCACACTTGATCTCTCAAGTTGCCTGCTTTAGCCTCTTCCAAGGTGATCTCTCAAGTCACCTGCTTCACCCTCTCCCAAGTGTGTTTTACCTTCTCTCGTTCCTGCTCTAAAGCTTTTTAATAAACTTTTACTCCTGCTCTGAAACTTGCCTTGGTCTCTCCTTCTGCTTATGCCCTTCAGTCAAATTCTTTCTTCTAAGGAGGCAAGAATTGAGATTGCTGCACACCTGTATGGATTTGCCATCAGTAACAAAACTTTCAAAAATCAAAGACAAAGAGAATTTTGAAAGCAGCAAGAAAAAACATTTGTCCTAATTTCAAAATATATTAGAAAACTGTAGCAATCAAAAGAGCATGGTGCTGGCATAAAAACAGACACATAGACCAATGAAAAAGAATAGAGAACCCAGAAATAAATCCATGCATATAGTTAGCTAATCTTCAGCAAAAGCACCAAGAATACAAAATAGGGAAAGAATAGTGAAAGAAATTAAAATACTTTATCCAAAAATATATTTCTTTGACATATTTTTAAATGGCTGCTACTTGGCCAGCAGACAGAAGTGGCCTTGTGAAGCTATTCTAAGTGGGGGAAATTTGCATCTGTAGAGAATCTCCATTAATGAAGTCATGCCCCCTCCCCTTTCTATGCCTTCCCCCAGATCCAGGAGAGGTTGAGAGTTTGACACCTTTATTATTTATTTATTTAAAACTTTTTCCTCCAACTCTGGCAGATGAACTGACACCTTTAAAAATCTGAAAAGAAACATTTACCGTCTATTCTCTCTGAGGGAGGCTTCATCTACATAAAAAAGCCACCTTTGCCAGTCAAGCCTCCTCATTTCTCTCTCTCTAAACCTGCCTTGCCATTAAGCCTGATTTACCTGTTTCTGGACATTCTCTGAGTCTGCATTCTTTACTGTGGCCTCAGGATAATATACACGTTTCTGTAACTCATTGGGAAGTTGGATTTTTATTCTGAAGGCTCCCATGGATGTATGTTAAATAAATGTTTATGCCTTTTCTCCTATTAATCAATCTGCCTCATGTCAGTGATTTTTACCAAAGCTTTAGGGAGCCAAGAGCCTATGGCTCCCACAGTAGTCTCATCAATAATTGGGCTGAGAAAACCGGATATCGACATATAAAAGAAAGAAATTGTACTCTTATCTTATACTACACACAAAAATCAACTCAAATAGGTTAAAGAGTTAAATATAAGACCCGAAAACAAGAAACTCCTAGACAACACAGGGAGAAAGCTTTCTGACATTGGTCTTGGTAGTGAATTTTGGATATAACATCAATAGCAAAGTCTACTAAAGCAAAAATAAACAAATGGAACTATATTAAACAAAAACTTTCTGCACAGGGAAGGAAACTATCAACGAAATGAAAACTGACAGAATAAGGGGAAATATTTGCAAACCATCTCTCAGATAAGGAGTTAATATCCAAAGTACATAATGAACTTGTAAACCAAAAATAAAATTCTAAGCGCCCCCAACTGACTGGTGGACCCTCCCCTCAGCCAAGGGCATTTGATATTATCCTGAAAAACTAGTTCAGGGTCTGATGGAAACTGGGGGTCAGACATGCCTCACAAACATCAACAGAGAGAGTTTAAGACTCATAGAACAGACTCTTTAAATCTGATAAGAAACACAGTCTATTCTGTCTGAAATCTACCTGTAGGCTTCATTTGCATGATAAAACCTTGGTCTCCAGATCCCTTTATCAAAACCCAGACATTCCTTTCTAATCTATTCCAGGTCTTTACATAAAATCTCTTTCAACCAATTGCTAATCAGAAAATCTTTAAATCTGCCTCTGACCTGGTAGGCCCTGCTTTGAGTGGTCCTGCCTTTCTGGATTGAACCAACGTACATCTTATATGCATTGACCGATGTCTCGTGTCTCCCTAACATGTATAAAAGCAAGCTCTACCCTAACCTTGGACATATGTTGTCAGGACATCCAGAGGCTGTTCACAGATGTATCCTTAACCTTGGCAAAATAGACTTTCTAAGTTGATTGAGACCTGTCTCAGATACTTTTGGTATACAAACTCATACAACTAAATAGCAGGAAAAAAAACTGATTTAAAAATGGGAAAATGACTTGAAGAGACATTTTTCCAAATAGCACATACAAATGGCCAAAAAGTATATAACAATGTTCTCAACCTCACTAAATTCAGGGAAATGCAAATCAAAACCACAGCTAGCTATCACTTCTACCTGTTAGAAAGGCTATTATCAAAAAGTTAAAACATAAGTATTGTCAGAGATGTGTGAAAAGGAAACCCTTATCCACTGTTGATGGAAATGTTAATTGGGAGGTTCTCAAAAAAAAATTAAAAATAGAATTACTGTATGATCCAACAATCCTACTGATACATATCCAAAGGAAATAAAATCATGACCTTGAAGAGCTATCTGCACTCCCATGTTCATTACAGCATTATTCACAAGAGTCAAGATCTAGAAACAACTTATGTGTCTGTCGATAATGAATGGATAAAGAAAATGTGGTATATACATACAATGGAAAATTATTCAGCCTTAAAGAGAAGGACATCTCGGTCTATGTGACAACATGGATGTACCTGGAGGACATTATGCCAAGTGAAATTACTCAGCCACAGAAAGACAAAAACTGCATAATTTCACTCATATGTGTAATCTAAAAAGTCGAAGTTATAGAAGCATAGTAGAACAGTGGTTACCAGGAGGTGTAAGGTAAGATAAATGGGGAATTTTTGGTCAAAGTGTGCAAACTTTCAGTTATAAGATGAATACTTATGGAGACCTTATGTACACTATGGTGACTATGGTTAGTTACAATGTATACTTAAAATTTCCTAAGAGAGCCGGGCATGGTGGTTTATGCTTGTAATCCCAGCACTCTGGGAGGCTGAGTTGGGCAGATCACGAGGTCAGGAATTTGAGACCAGCATAGCCAACATGGTGAAATCCCATCTCTACTAAAAATACAAAAATTAGTCAGGCATAGGGGCAGGCTCCTGTAATCCCAGCTACTTGGGAGGCTGAGGCATGAGAATCACTTGAACCTGGGAGACAAAGGTTGCAGTGAACCGAGATCGCACCACTGCACTCCAGCCTGGGTAACAGAGTGAGACTCTGTCTCAAAAAAAAAAAAAAAATTGCTAAGAGAGTAGGTCTGTTTTTGTTTGTTTGGTTGGTCGGTTGGTTTTGTTTTGTTTTTTAAGACAAAGTCTTGCTCTGTCACCCAGGCTGGAGTGCAATGGCACCATCTCGGCTCACTGCAAGCTCTGGGTTCAAGCGATTCTCCTGCCTCAGCCTCCTGAGTAGCTGGGATTACAGGCATGCGCCACCACACGCAGCTAATATTGTTTTTCTGTTTTTAATAGACACGGGTTTCACCATGTTGGCCAGGCTGGTCTCGAACTCGTGACCTCAAGTGATCCACCCACCTCGGCCTCCCAAAGTACTGGGATTACAGGTGTGAGCCACAGCTCACAGCTTCATTCTTTTTCATGGCTGTGTAGTATTCCATGGTGTATACATACCACATTTTCTTTACAATATTTATTTGTCAATCATATCTCAGTGAAGTCAGAGAAAAAAAAGAACCTGAAAGAAACACGGCAACCTTGGCAAAAGGGCTGGGCCTAGAAACTTCTCATGTTGCACTTACCTTTGACATCTGTAGTCTCTTGGGTACCAGCCCCGCAGAGAAGACGACAGGCAGAACTGTTTGGCAATGACATCCTAAGAAAAGCAAGTAGAAGAAACAAGTTACAAATTTATGGATTTATAAATCACATGAAGCCTATGGACTTACAGGAATTTCCATTTATCTTTTTTTAAAACTTTCATTTTAGGTTTGGAGGTACATGTGAAGGTTTGTTATTTAGATAAACTCGTGTAATGGGGGTTTGTTGTACAGATTACTTCATCACCCAGGTATTAGGTCTAATACCCCATAGCAATTTTTTTCTGCTCCTCTCCCTCCTCTCACCCTCCACCATCCGGTAGACCCCAGTGTCTGTAGTTTCATTCTTTTTTTGAGACGGAGTCTCACTCTGTCACCACGCTGGAGTGCAGTGGTGTGATCTTGGTTCACTGCAACCTCCATCTCCCAGGTTCAAGTGATTCTCTTGCCTCAGCCTCCTGAGTAGCTAGGACTACAGGCACGCACCACCAAGCCCAGCTAATTTTTGTATTTTTAGTAGAGACAGGGTTTCACCATGTTGGCCAGGATGATCCCGATCTCTTCACCTTGTGATTTGCCCACCTCAATCTCCCAAAGTGCTGGGATTACAGGTGTGAGCCACTGTACCCTTCTTTGTGTCCATGTGTTCTCATTAAACTCTCACTTATAAATGAGAACATGCCGTATTTAGTTTTCTGTTCCTGCATTAGTTTGCTAAGGATAATGGCCACCAGCTCCATCCATGTTTCTGCAAAAGACATGATCTTGTTCTTTATTGTGACTGCATAGTATTTCATGATGTATATGTACCCCATTTTCTTTTTACAACCTGTCATTGATGGGCATTTAGGTTGATTCTATGTCTTTTCTATTGTGAATAATGCTGCAGTGAACATTCGCATGCATGTGTTGTTATGTTCCAGAAAGATTTCATGACGCAGACACCAAAAGCAATCACAACAAAAGCCAAAGTTGACAAAGGGGATCTGGTTAAACTTAAGAGCTTCTGCACAGCGAAGGAAACTATCAACAGAGTAAACAGCCTACAGAAGAGAACAAAATATTTGCAGACTATGCATCTGACAAAGGTCTAATATCCGGCATCTAAAGGGACTTAAACAAATTTGCAAGAAAAAAATAAACAATCTCATTAAAAAGTGGGCAAGGAACATAAACAGACACTTATGAAAAGAAGACATGTGGCCAAAAAGCATATGAAAAAAACCTCATTATCACTGATCATTAGAGAAATGCAAATAAAAACCACAATGAGATACCATCTTATACCAATCAGAATGACAATTACTACAAAGTTAAAAATAATAGATGCTGGCAAGGTTGCAGAGAAAAGAGAACACTTGTACACTGTTAGTAGGAGGGTAAATTAGTTCAACCATTGTGGAAAACAGTATGACATTTCCTCAAAAAGCTAAAAACAGAACTACCATTCTACCCAGTGATCCCATTACTGGGTATTTACCCAGAGGAATATAAATCATTCATCTTTTTATTTGGTTTTTAAACATTTGTTTGTTCTCTTCCACTCTTTCCATGCTCCCAACTGTAATCCCACAATCCCATTAAATAAACTACAGTTGGACTTTCTTATCGTCTTTAGTGATTTGTTTGTTCTCTAATTTGTCATAAAAGGGTAACATTTTCAACTTCTGCGCATGAAAAGCTCAAACATTAAGTTCGTAATTATTTCAAAGGGATTTATGAGTGTTTCTCTAGGGAGCTGTTTTCGAAATAAGATAAGTGCTATGAATGGGATAAGAAAGATTACAGTAATTATGTTGGTTTCTGAAAAAACCAAAAATTTAATATCAGCGGAGTAACTTGGGGACTCACAGATGCAGTGTGTATCCTTTGAAACACATCTGTATCCCAGTTTCCTTGAATCCAAATATGACACTCTAAGCAAGCAGGGACTGGGTGGGAAGCGCAGGTTATTTTGTATGGAATGAACAAAGTCATCAATTTCTAGAATTCAACACATGGTAGTAATTATTTTGGGGTCTCTGATTGAGGGAGGAGGGTCCTCATGCTTCAGGAACCTGTAACTCTGTGACGCAGGGGTAGAGTGGAATTGATATCAGCCTAACGAGCCCTAAAATATTCCTATACATGTATTCAGCACACAAACCAGCCCTAATCATTCCTGAGACAGGGGTTGGTCGCCTACTCTGCATCTTTCTTCTCCTAACCAACAGCAGCAGTTGAATCACCTGGGGGTATGAATTTAAAAGTGCAGATTTTAAAGCTAAATCCCCAGTAATTATTGTTCAGTAGATTTGGGGCAGATGGTCTGATACAGGTGGTCATTGGGCCAATTTCCCGACTTCTACAGGAACCACTTCCTTGCTTCTCTTAATATATTTTATCGCTAAAAACTATAGTTTGGTTTGGGCTGGCTTTTTTTTTTTTTTTTAATTTTATATAAGCAGAATTATACAGCGTGTCACTTGGTTCAAAATGCCCAACATTATGTTCGTGAGATTATTGAGTGGAACCATAGTTTTTCTTATTCATTACTATACAGTATTCCATTGTATGACCACACCACAGCTGACGCTTCTGTCAATGAATAGTACTTATTCTACATTTTGCTTGTTTTAGTTTTTTTGGCTATTGTGAAAAGTACTGCTAAGAACATTATTGTACATGTCTCTCAACGTACATGTGAAAGCACATTTCAGTTGGAGTAGAATTGCTACGTCTACAATATCCGTAGAATCAACTGTAGAAGGTAAAACCAAACTTTTTCTAAAGCGCGACATCAACGTACATTCCCATCAGCTGTATATGAGAGACCTTATTGTTAGGCATCCTTATCAACACTTAGTAGGCTTTTTTTTTAAGACTCAAGGGGTATATGTGCAGCTATGTTACATGAATATATTGTGTGATGCTGAAATTTAGGCTTATATTGAACCTGTCACCCAAATAGTGAACTTAGTACCCAATAGGTAGTTTTTCAACCCTTGCTCCTTTCCCTCTCTGCCCTCAGTGTCTACTGTTTCATTTTTATGTCTATGTGTATCCACTGTTTAGCTCCCACTTATAAGTGAGAACATGCTGTGTTTGATTTTCTGTTTCTACATTAATTCACTTGCCAGCTGCATCCATGTTGCTGCAAAAGGCATTATTTCATTCTTTTTCATGGCTGTGTAGTATTCCATAGTGTATACATACCACATTTTCTTTATCCAATCCACCATGGATGAGCACCTAAGTTGATTCCAAGTCATTGCTATGGTGAATAGTGCTGCAATGAACATACGAGCACATGTGTCTTTTTGCTGAAATGATTTACTTTCCTTGGGATATATACCCAGTAATGGGATTGCTGGGTCAATGGTAGTTCTATATTCAGTTCTTTGAGAAATCTCCAAACTACTTTCCACAGGAGCTGAACTAATTTGCATTTCCACTAACAGTGTTTAAATGTTCCCTTTTCTCTCCAACCTCATCAACATCTGTTATTTTTTGACTTTTTATTAACAGCCATTCTGCTTGGTGTGAGATGGTATCTCATTGTGGTTTTGGTTTGTATTTCTCTGATGATTAGTGATGCTGAGTATTTTTTCAGGTTTGTTGGCCACTTGTTGTGTCTTCTCTTGAGAAGTGTCTATTCATATCCTTTGTGCAAATTTTTTTTTGAGACAAGGTCTCACTCTGTCACCCAGGCATGATCATAGCTCGCTGCAGCCTCGAACTACCAGGCTCAACCAATACTCCCACCTCAGCCTCCTGAATAGCTGAGACCATAGGCACATGCCACCACACCTGGCTAATTCTTTTTTTGGGGGGGTTGGGGGGTGATGAGGTCTCCCTATGTTACCAGGCTGGTCTCAGATTCCTGGGACAAGCAATCCTCTTCCTGGCTCAGCCTTTCAAAGTGCTGGGATTACAGGCGTCAGCTACCCACCTGGCCCTTTGTGTACTTTTTGATAGGTTTGTTGGTTTTTACTTGTTGATTTAAGTTCTTTATGGATTCTGGATAGTAGTCCTTTGTTGGATGCATAGATTAAAAATATTTTCTCTCATTCTGTGGGTTGTCTCTTTACTCAATTGATAGTTTCTTTTGCTATGCAGAAGCTCTGTGGTTTAATTAGGTCCCAATTGTCAGTTTTTGTTTTTGTTGTGTTTGCTTTTGAGGACTTAGTCATGAATTCTTTGCCTATGGCAATGTCCAGAAGAGTGTTACCTAGGTGTTTTCTTCTAGGGTTATTATTATTTGTTTTTGTTGTTGTTGTTGTTGTTGTTGTTTTTTGAGATGGAGCTCTGTCGCCCAGGTTGGAGTGCAGTGGCTCGATCTTGGCTCTCTGCAAACTCCGCCTCCCGGATTCAAGTGATTCTCCTGCCTCAGCCTCCCGAGTAGCTGGGATTACAGGCGCCTGCCACCATGTCCAGCTGATTTTTTTGTATTTTTAGTAGAAATGGGGTTTCACCATGTTAGCTAGGCTGGTCTTGAACTCCTGACCTCAGGTGATTCGCCTGCCTAGGCCTCCCAAAGTGTTGGGATTACAGGTGTGAGCCACCATGCCCAGCCTCTTCTAGGATTTTATAGTTTGAAGTCTTATATTTAAGTCTTTAATCCATCTTGAGTTAATTTTTTTATATGGTGAAAGCTAGGGGTCCAGTTTTCTTCTGCATATGGTTAGCCAGTTTTCCCAGCACCACTTATAGAATAGTGTGTCCTTTCCCCTTTTTTATTTTTATTGACTTTTTCAAAGATCAGTTGACTGTAGGTGTGTGGCTTAATTTCCGGGTTCTTTATTCTGTGCCATTGGTCTATATTGACACTTAATATTAATGGTCTTTTAAATTTTAACTTTTCTGGAAGGTGTTTAGCATAAACTCTTTGTAGTTTTAATTTGCGTTTTATGATTGCTAACGCAGTTGAGCACCTTTGGTATGTTTATTGGTTATTTGGATATCTTGGTTTATTGATTTAATTTTGAAGTCTCTTTCCTATTTTTCTAGTGGGTTGTGTTTTTTTGGTATTAATTTGTAAGAGTTCTTACAAATTCATATATATACACATATACAT